ACTGATGGAAATCCACCCCAAAGCCACGGATGATCTCCCCCAGCGGCTTCACATAAATATTGAACAATAAGGGGGAGAGGACCGACCCCTGTGGCACCCCACAAGTTAGGGGCCTTGGGGTCGACCTCTGTCCCCCTGCCAATACAGACTGCGTGCGGTCGGTGAGGAAGGAGGAGAACCACCGCATAACGGTGCCCCCACTCCCAACTCCACCAAGCGCCGCAGCATGATACCGTGGTCCACAGTATCAAAAGCCGCTGAGAGGTCCAAAAGAACTAGGACAGAGGAATGCCCCCTGTCCCGGGCCCTCCAGAGATCATTCACCAATGTGACCAATGCCGTTTCCGTGCTGTATCCCGACCTGAAGCCCGACTGGAGCGGGTCTAGATAGATGTTCTTGCTGTTAAGATATTTTTGGTCTTGTTGCCTTGCAGGCTTTGGCTCATGATATTTATACTGACTTGATTGATGATGCTTGTCTGGGCTTGTGCTTTGAGGTACACCGGGCGGTCAAATGTGGATACTTCTTTCTGGATGATACAGACCCTGATAGTATGAAGGACTTTGGTAAGTGTGTGTTTTAGCCAGTGCCCCTTATATTTTCTTACCAGGAATCTTGCTTATGTGTAAAATCCTGCTACATGGCATAATAGGACATACTATTTCAGACTTATATATACATTGGATTCATACAAGACATTAAACATGCTTCTATAAAACTTATCTACAAAACATATTTGTTTTGTTATGTCTGACTTTTGTCTAGGATAAGCTATAAACTTATCCTCAACTAAGCATACACAGCTGCCAATTGGGGTGCTATTTTTTTTGTTTAAAATCAGACATACTTGCTGCCACATAACCTGGCTCACATGTGCACACAGTATTGTGCTCTGTCTCTTTGTAGCTGAGCTGACGACAGCACCTGACTGTATATTTTTTGGCTCAGAAGCTAAACAGAATCATGCTTGATTTGTACTTGGATGGAAGATGATCAGGAATGCTGGATTTGTAAGCTAGTCTGGGAAAGAGAATGAATATCCTGGAAGAAGGCAATAGGGAATTGCTTTTGTATTGTTGCAAAGAAGATTACACTATCCATGAAGTTACCAGGAACCCAACTTAACTCAAAAGAATTTCTTTTTGTGCGAGAAGTTTAAACAAGAGGGAAAACTGTTTTGATGACCAATACTAGCTTAGCCCAAAATTTTATATATATCCTACAATGCTCCCTACTCATCCAGCCACTGTTTTAACTTTTATTGCCAAATAATGATAAGATAGGCAGGGGAGTGTGTGTATGTATGAGGGGGGGGGGAGAGAGAAAGATTGTTCTACGATTATCCAAGGAGCTTTGTGAGAGTTGAAAGAGTGATACTTATGTGTCTGCTGGCCAGAGCTATTCTAGTATCTGGAGGTTTTTGCCTCCCCCTCTGTGACTGAGAATTGTTCTGGTAGCAACAGTGATGACTACATTGTTGGTCACTATTCTTCTTGTAATGCTTATCTTAAAAGAAGGGCAAACTGGACTGTTTTTAAATTTCTGTCAATCTAAGCTGCTACTCTTTGGAGAAGTTCATGAGATGCTTATGTATGTAGCTCTTTTCCTGGCTATTTGTTCAACTGAGAGATATCCTTACTTTCTTTTTTGGTTACAGAAATTGTGGATCAACCAGGCCTGGATATTTTTGGCCAGGTCTATAACCAGTGGAAGACTAAGGAATGTGTGTGCCCAAACTGTAGCCGAAGCATTGCTGCCTCCCGCTTTGCCCCACATTTGGAGAAGTGCCTTGGTATGGGTCGGAATAGCAGCCGTATTGCCAATAGGAGGTGAGGACATGAGAATGCTCTGAATGTTATAGGTCTAGCAGGAAAAGAGCTGAGACCAAGGATGATATGCTTGAAAATCAGATGTATCAGAAGGAAAAAAGAAAGTCCAACTTTGAGATTCCTATGATTGTATTGTTTTATGTTTATTCTATATGCTTAAAGTAATGCATTTTTCATTGTCATGCTAGCCTAAATTATGCATGAACTGATGCATTTTTGCATCATTATTTTACTTTTGTTTGCCATGGTGAAGAATGTGGAGATATCAAAGACTGTAGAGGCAATTATTCAATGGATTATGGAGAAAGCAAGGAAGCTCCATAAAAACATTTACTTCTGCTTCATTGATTACTCTAAAGGCTTGGATTGTGTGGATCACAACAAACTGTGGCAAGTTCTTAAAGAGAATGGAGAACCAGAGCATCTTACCTGTCTAAAAAACCTGTCAAGAAGTAACGTTAGAATCGGACATGGATCAACTGATTGTTCAAAATAGGGAAAGGAGTACGATAAGGTTGTATATTGTCATCTTGCTTATTTAACTTAAATGCAGAATACATCATGAAAAATGCCAAGCTCAATGAATCACAAGCTGGAATTACGTTTACTGGGAGAAATATCAACAGGCTCGGATATACAAACCATACCACTCTAATGGCAGAAAGTGAAGAACCTCTAAAGATCCTCTTGGTGCAGATGAAAGAGGAGATTATAAACGTTGGTTTGAAAATCAGCATTAAAAAAAAATAAGACCATGGCATCTGGTCCCATCATATCCTGGCAAACAGAAGTGAAAGAAATGAAAGCAGTGATAGATTTTGTTTTGGGCTTCAAGATCACTGCAGATGGTGACTGCAGCCATGAAATTAAAAGACTTGTGCTCTTTAAGAGGAAAGCTATGGCAAACCTACACAGCCCAATGAAAAGCAGAGACATCACTTTGCTGACAAAGGTTTGTATAGTTAAAGCTATGGTTTTCCCAATAGTAATGTATTACTATGAAATTTGGACCATAAGGAACGCTGAGCACCAAAGAATTGATGCCTTTGAATTGTCGTTTCAGAGAAGACTCTTGAGAGTCCCTTGGACTGCAAGGAGATCAAATCAGTCAATCCCAAAGGAAATCAACCCTGACTGTCCTTTGGAAGGACAAATACTGAAACTGAAGCTCAAATATTTTGGCCACCAAAGGAGAAGAAAAGACTAATTGGAGAAGATTCTGATGTTGGGAAAGATTGAAGGCAAAAGGAAAAAGAGATGGCAGAGGATGAGATGGTTAGATAGAGTAATCAATGCAATGAACATGAATACAAGAGACAGCGGAAGATAGTGGAGTTTGGTGTGTGCATTGATCCATGGGGTCACAAAGAGTTGGACATGACTTAGCAACTAAACAACAAAATAGGCAATCAAATCCATATTTCCATATGGTACCTCTGCTCCCACAGCTGCTAAAATATGGCAAGGGATAGCCTGTAATTGCAAAATGTTGATTCCTAAAGCAAATTCTCTGTTTGTACATCATGATGGAGGAATGCACTCAGCATAATGTGAGAGTTTGACTTCCTGTGGCATTCCAGTTAGACTGAGCTGCAAGTCAAAAAGCACCTGGTACAAGTTTTACTTTTGCATCAAATTGTCAATTCTAAGAACAAAAAAAACTCTTGAGTGTCTTAGTTTCTTGTTTCCACTGAAGTTTGTATCTGTATTGACCTGCCTCACTGGCTTGCTGACAAGTTTCATCTGAAATGCTATCCAGTCTGTAAACCAGCTTTCCCCAATATTGGTATCATAGCAGCCGCTGAATTCTGGAAATTAGAATCCATACATAGATAACATCCAGGTTGAGGAAGCATGCTGTACATGCTAACAAAATATAGTAACCTCAGTTGATAATTAAGACATTTGCTTGTTTGGGCTGGACTTTGTCTTTTAATATATTTAATCCTAAGAGAGTTTCCAACTTTCTACCTACTCCCTATTATACTACTGCAATTAATGCAATTTGGAATTGTTGTATGGAAAGACAGCGAGCTCCATTCAGTAGTATTACTCGAGACCAATTTCTCAATTGTGAATATTGTGTTGGTGGGTCTGATTTTCTAGGTTTCAAAAAGACAGAAACATTAATCTTGGAAGCCTGAACTCTGCTCATCCTTTTCCTAGGATTTATATTCATTTCAAATAACACAGTTGCCAATCTTCTTTGGGCTTCCTCATTGCCTGGCAATGCCATGGAGCAGTGTTACACTTCCTGGCATGAGTTAGTGGCTTGGATGACAGAAAGTGGCAATTCTAATTGCAGTCTTTCATCCCAAAATAAAAAGAAAATCATCCTTTTTCTTCTTGTTCTCCCTGCTGCAGGATAGCAAGTAGTAATAACATGAACAAATCTGAGAGTGATCAAGAGGACAACGATGACATAAATGATAATGACTGGTCATATGGATCTGAAAAGAAAGGTAAGCTGAAGCAAAGATGTGTTTGTGTGCATGCTCTTTTGTAAAGATAGAAGTCTCTTTCTAGAGTGAGGAATAGATGTTGAATTTGGCTGCTACTTCAATCAGAAATTCTGATGAGATATCTTTTAGAAGGCTGTTTTGGTGGGTTCAAAGGGACAATCTTCCACCTTGAGCACTTTGAGATATGGAGTCTAATGCAAAAGATTTGGATTCAAATAAGGTACCCAACTTTGGGGGCAGGGGAGAGAGAGGCTGCCAATGCCACACTGAGTTATTGGCCAATTTTATACTACTGTGGGTCTAAAGACATAGTTTTCAGAGATGACCTTAAGAGAATGAAAAGACTGATTTGCTCTGTTGGATATATGTTGCAAAGGAACAGATTAATTATTAATTAATTATGGTAATTTTCAACCTAAACCATAATGGGCACTATCTATTACAGTCATAGGTAGTGGCGACTGTTATGTGAGACAGACTTAACTTAATGACCCTCACCCCTGCTCTCCCTAATGCCACTGTTAGGTAAATGCACAGGTCGTTAAGCATGCATTGGTACCTCATGGGTGGAAGAGGCACTGGGAAACCTGCCACCAAGCTGACCATAAAGAAGGCAGACAAGCAATAAAAATCTTTGCAAAGCCAAAATCAGCCTAGAAGGGGGAACAGCGTAACTAGATTAAAGTCTAGCATTGTGTTCCAATGCCAGAGAGGCTCCCAAACAAGCCTCCATGCTTGGCCAGTGAAACCACACTTGAGGTAGTAGGCTTTGGGCCTACTTTTACCTGGAACTCAATATCATTTAATCTTTGCAGAAATGTATGCTTGGTATTGTTATACCACATAAATCGCATGTATTCTGTTGATATCCCATATGTCACTAGTTTGATGGAAAATTATCAGTCTTTATTAGTTGAAATAAACCTGAGAGGGATAACTTAATAAACTAATCAAAGTTTAATATCAGCCTTCATGCCCTAACTTCAATTTTACGTATCTATGTTTCTAATTTGAAACAAGAATGAGCTCTCTGGCTACAAGTATAGACTCAGGACTTTAGTTTATACTACTTCAAATGCATTATTCTTGGACCAAAATTTAAGCTTGAAAACGTTTTAAGGGGATGGTATAATAAAATATCTCCTTTTTAATCTAATTAGCAAAGAAGAGGAAATCGGATAAGGTAAGTGCATGCCTACCTTTAATATTGATTTAATTATTAAAGTGAGCATTTTTAAATCTTTTTCAAAGTTAGAAGTTAATATTAGAATTGAAGGTATATTCTGTATGTGAGTAGAGCCACTGATTACTCTCAGTTTTCATGATCTTATACTATTTGTGAAACCTGGGTTTCGAAATCTGTTGTGCATTGGATTGAGAACTAAGAAATTGTGCTATTGTAAGGGCCTTGAGAAGCAAGATTATGCTTCAATTTGGATCCTTTAGGAAGGTTTTTTTCAGTTTATTCTGTGAGTTTACATATTTTATCTTTTTACTTTGAATTACATGGCTCCTTTGAATTGTAGGAGAGTATATGCTCCTCAGATAGTGCTACACAAAGAGGAAGGAAAAGGGAAGGCTGTAATCCCTTAATTCAAGGTAGAACTCAACATATATTGGGAATGTGAGTTTTCCTTCCTAGACACTATAGTAATGAATGTTTTGTATCTGTACATCAACAACATTCTTTAAAACTATTGATTTCACAATAATTTCTGTGCTTTCACTGTTTCAAATATTATTTAGAGACCAGGTAACCAAAACATTTTTAAAAGCTAACCATCTGCATTGCTGTTACTGTTGTTCAAAATCTTGAGTGAGTAGCCTGATCTTTGTCACTGAAATGAAACAATATTGAAATGGCCTTCAAGTTGGGGAAGGAATTTAGTTGCAGGATCTATTAAATTCAGAGTTTCCCCACATCCCCATAACAAACTAGACCTTTTATTTTTCCTGACTTCTTTCAGAATCCCAATTCTCCCCGAAGATCCAAATCCCTGAAACATAAAAATGGTGAGTGTGTTGTGGAAAGCCATCTTCTATTGTTCTTATATCTAATCTCCATATGACATAGTATAATGCAGGGGTAGTCAACCTTGGCTCTTTTATGACTCGTGGACTTCAATTCCCAGAATTCCTATGCTGGCTCAGGAATTCTGGGAGTTGAAGTCCACGAGTCATAAAAGAGCCAAGGTTGACTACCCCTGGTATAATGCATAGGCAAAATTTTTCCCAATTCTCCTGTACAGCTTTTGTGTATCTCAGTTAAAATTAATTAAGTGGAGAGGGTACATACTTTTTGCTTTGTAACTGCAAGCAGTGCTTGCCTTTGGAAAGCCCCATTTTCTTGTGTTTCTGCATGCATGATGAATATGGACATGGCCAGAATAATTGGGGGGGATACTACTAAAGCAGATGTTAAATAGCAGGGGTTCTCCATAGATAGATTTGCTGGTAGAGATCCATCACAGCACCTTTTAGGTAGCCAAACTTTCAAATGCTTTTATACCACTTAATGTAGTAGCAGGTTACTCATTGTACTATAACATGTGTCAGCGTTGTTTGTCAATTACTGCTGTAAACATGCTGTGGGAAAATGTAAAAAGAGAAAAGGTGAACTGATGTGTTGTACAATCAGAATGTTTTTAGTCAATCTGTTGAATATCTTAGTAGTTCTTAAGTAGGCCAACGCGTGGTTGATTTAAAGTTTTTAATGGAAAAGCATGGGCAGTATGCATTATCGTCAGAAAACAAAGGTTGTCATGGCTTTCAGTTGGATTGGACATTTGGAGAGTGTGCATAAAGTGAATTAGAGTTGGGCTGCCAAAATGCAGATTAGATGTGGTAGCCCTACCACAGACAATCTGCTATTCTGGTCTGTCAAGTAAAGAGAGGGAATATTGAGCATTTGGAGGAACCTACTGAAGGCTTGATGGACTGTAGATGGGCAGGTAGTAATGGCAGTTAGGTGACCTGGAGCAGATAGGTTTGCTTAAAAGAGCTTTTCATGAATGGCAACAAGGAATTACCAAAGGAAAATAAACCCCCTCCAGAATCACAGGTGTCCTAGATCGCCATGAAAATGACTGGAAGGAATAGGAGTCAGCCTGTCTCTTGTTTGGGCTTGCTTTCTCCACTAATTAACCCTCCTTACTGTAATACAAGTTAAGCATGCTTTAGAATGTTTAGAATATTTCAGAATGCTAGTATGTTTTCCTATGCCAAATTGTGTTTCCTAGGCCATAATTTGGAGATGGCAGCATTTGTAACTTGATATGCAAATGGCCATATGGAATCTATGAATTAGCCTTTAAAAACAAATGCTACCCTAGTTTTCTGACATGTGCATTGATAAGCATCATAGTAGAGTGAGACCACATGTATTGCTACTTATCTGTATTCTTTTTTTCTCTTCCAATAGGGGAGCTGAGTGGTAACCCAGACCCATTTAAGGTAAGTTTAGTTCAACACAGCAGTGCTGTGTCCTATCATACTGTGTTGCTCCTCAGGATTTTAAAAAGTACTGGATCTACAAAACCTCTGTTTAGAGGTTCTATTGAGCCCGAGTCAGCTTGTCTAAATATAGCAGTGGCTCTGGAGCCCACTCCCACCATATGCCTGGATTTGATGACATAAATGCCTACATTTAAGAAAGGAATGCAAGAGAATTTTAATGTCAGCTTCAAAGCCTTATCACAATTTTTAACAAACAGCAGTGAATCCACCCTAGATGTATTTCATTGCTACATGACAAAGCCCTATCCATTCTGCACCATTGCCATATCTCTTGTGGCTGTCAACTTTTCTTAAAGTTAAAAGGGCTCTTAATGTTAATGACTCCAGAACAGAATAGGATTACAGAGGGGCATGTATTACATTTCTATTTGCTATTTTATCTTTGTTATGCTAGTATTTTATCTCATTCATTCATTCATTCATTCATTTATCTGAATGCCACCTTTATTACTTTTACAAATAACTCAAGGTGGCAAACACATCCTGCACACCTTCCTCCTCCTGTTTTCCTCACTAGAACAACCTCTGTGAGGTGGCTGAGAGAGTGACTTGTCCAAAGTCACCCAGATGGCTTTCGTGGCTAAGGTGGGACTTGAACTCACATTCACTTGCTTTCTACACTAGTGCTTTAACCCTTAGAACAAACTGACTCTCACTCAAACTGGCTCATTTTACTTTTGTGTTGCATAATTTCATTTTCATACCATTTCATGGTGAAAATGTGAAGGAAAGGATTGCCATGACTTATGTAACACTTAAAATATTTGGGTATGGTGTATTCTCCTCCTTAGTATAACAATTCTGCTGGAATCAACTATGAAACTCTGGGTCCTGAGGAGCTCCGTAGTTTGCTAACTACAGTAAGTATCTAGCTATGTTGCCTTCTGTCTGGTGGTTCTGTCTGCCGTTGCTTATTTTCAGTTAACAGAAAGAAACTGATGCTTATTTATTTGAAGGTAAATGCTTGCCCTGAAGGATGCTGCATAGGGTCTGCATAACTGATCATTGGAGCCTATACAGTACTTAAAATTTTATTTGGAAGGGACATTGCAAAACGAAGATAAATTCCCTGACTATGGCCCTTTGAAGTGATTTGAGGACTCTTCAATCCCCTGAGGCTAGATAATATTTAAAGCTGATAGGTATGGTTTATTATGGGCTTGATATTCATTTAACTACAGCAATGTACAGTTGCTGCTCTACTGAATATGAAAAAGTAAAGGAACCCAAGCATGATTTTGTTGAAATGAAGGTCAAATGACGCTAAGAAGTAGGCAGGTAGTATGAGAATTAATGTACCTAATCAGGAATAAGACAGAAATAAAGGGTGGTGAATACTGATGTCTATTATTGTGGAGATATGATCTACTGGCCTAATTAAAGTAGCTACTTAGGCTGATTTTTATTATACTTTATCCTGGAAAAGCAACAAACTTGCAGAAGATTGTTGCTCTGCCCCAGGTTTCCCCAACTGGAATATGCTCCTTGTCTGTGGAACCTGGGGTTTGGAGTCCCAATACATCTGGAAGAAGACAACCAGTATAGTTCTTTTTTAATTCCCATCTCAGTTGAGTTGCTTTAAAAGGGGATTTTCCTCTGCATTGCATCTTTACCCTTCCCAAGCAGAGTCCTATACAATTTTTTGAGACTAGGCATTTCTCCTTTTAGATCTTCCAAGGTGACCCTATGAGGCTTACAGTAAGTTCTGCCTCACTTTCCTCCCTCGCTTTTCTTTCGTTTACTCCCCATTGTCCATGTTTTTACCTGGCTGTGTTTATTATTACTTAAAGATTGTTTCTCTTCTTAGTCAGGCTGTGCTGAAAAGTCATGGCTGCATTTACAGCCCTATCTGAGGGTTAAAATATTTATATTCTGAAAATATTTATATTTTGAATGTTTAAGAATGAGAACTACCCATCATCTGATGTACTAACCAACCTACCAACCAACCTGATTTATGATCCTTTTTCTCTAGCAATGTGGGGTGATCTCTGAACATACCAAGAAGATGTGTACACGGTGAGAACTACCTTTTCTTTTCATTTTTGGGTGTCCTTTTGAGTTGCTTTGTTTGCTACTGCAAAAGTCTCTAGGTCACAAATTTGCCCCATTTGCAGTGGCTAGTTTGGAATCTACTTGCTTGTGATTACAGGAATTGATCTTTTCACTAGTGTTCACTCAAAACAGAATTCACACTTGGGGAGAAAATATGCATTGAAAATCGAGGGGAAGAAAAATATTTTTTCTTTGGCAGAACTTGCAAGACACTTGCTACCTGAGTGAAGCCCTATTATTGGAAGTGATATTGCAAAAAAATGTTGAAGAGAGAGGTGGGAAGGGAATTCTTTAGATTTTAATTTAACCTTGCAACTTGGTGAGGGGTACTTTGCCTACAATAAAATATCTCTTGCTAATCCTGAAATTGGCTTTAACTAGCTTCCTACGAGAAATTCAGAAACTTGGAAGCTACACAACAGCTATATAAAAGCTTTCCACATAATTTTTTAACAATGAATTGGGCTTCCATGCCTGTTCAAAAGGTAAGGTATTTTATTTATTAGGAAAGTTTGGAACTATTTTTTCAGACTAATACATTTTATTATAAAGCACCAGCTTTCATAAGCTTCAACCTGCTTTATCAGATGCAGGGAATGGCTTAACATAGGATTTAAAAACATAGGTATGAAATGGGCAAAGGTAGTTGAAAACAAGATGATTATACAGATCAAGGTTTCATGGGGTACAAATTATAAGTTCCTATCAAGTAACCATTGTACTGTGTTAAAAGTTATTGAAACTTTCTGAGATAAGCTGCAAATAACTGATGTATATAAATACATTGTCTTCCACTCAGTTGCTCTGGAAAAGTCTTTTTTTGTTCCAAAACAACTACATTAAGATCTATAATGGATTGTCCTGAGAGATCAAAATGTGTCAATGCTTTGTCCTTGATTCAAGTCAGACTTGGCTCAGTTAGTTCTTACGTACAAAATCATCTGTTAGTCCTGTCTAAAAGTCAACAGGGGACTGCTGGCAATTGATGGCATACATGGCATTAGAGGAACAGCATGTGAAAATGCCTATAAAATTGGCCTGTTGCACCATCTGATTCCCATGTTAACTTTCTTCTGTTTCATTGGGAGAATTTCTTCAGATGCAAGTAAAGTTGCATGTTGGCTGGAGAATTCTGGGAGTTAAAATCCACACATCTTAAAGTTGCTAAGTTTGAAAATCACTCATCTATGTGAATATGCTGGATAAGGTCATATGATGGCACAGAGTGCTGATGATACCTAGTTACACACCTCTATCCCTGGCTGAGCAGGTGATGCCATTTTAGTGCTGATCCAATATCTGGAGGTTATGAGGGTCTGGAAGGGGAGAAAGCAGCTTCAACTCAATCCTGCAAGACAGAGTGGTTGTGGGCTTTAATGTTCCCTGTATTCCAGTCCAAAAAAGATTAGCCATGTGCTGCCACCTACTGAGGTACTGTAATTCGAAAAACAAATTCAAATTCTGCTTCCAGAAAAAATCTTTTTAAAAAATAGATTGCTTATATTATATAACTGAAGTTTAGCAATTTGTATTTTATATAACTTAGTATATTTAATTTCCTCACAAGATGTTGCTGAGACTCTGCCCTGGGAAGTAAAAACTGCTCAGCAGCCAGTTGTCTAAAAGTTGGCTTGGATTTGCTTCTTGGTCTTAAAGTCTTCAAATTCCACTTACAAAAGAGAATGACTTGCTTTCAAAGAAAGAATAAAAAATTGCTACAATGATTTTGCCCTGCTAGTAAATAGGTGTATGCAAGCAATAAATTATTGTTTCAAAGGCAAGATTGGGATGCTCACAATATATTTTTCAGCTCTGAGCATTTGGTTGTTCCCTTAGATTTTCTGACAGTGTTGATCCCCTACTTCTAGAATATTGATGGGTTAGCATTATGGATGATGAAAGAGCAGGAAACATGTATTTCACAACCTGGGATTGTTCTCTAATCTCATCCTTTGCCTGAAGGTCTCTTCGCTGCCCCCAGCACACTGATGAACAGCGGAGGTCAGTCAGGATCTACCTCCTAGGATCCTCTGCGTAAGTGTAATTAGGATGGAAGGAATGCGGAAGAGAAACTCTTTTACTCCAAAATATATTTCATACTGTTTAACTGTATGAATGTTGCTGAATTTTGCTAATTGCATAAATGAAGCTGAATAACTTTCAGTAATTTGCAACCTATCATTTTGTTGGTTTCTTTCTGAGCCCCAGAAAACCTTACATTGATACTCTTTTGGCTTTTCAGAGTTAGGCATATCTCAACCAGGGGTTTTCAAGCATATCTTTCTGGGTTAGAAATCTACTCTAAAAGAAATAAAGAATATAAAAGTAGTGAAAAATCGGGGGAGGGGGGGCAATAGCACATCCTCTTGGAACTTCAAGAATGCCTGGTTGTTGTTTTAAAAAGAGACTTCCCTGATCTAATAGCACATCTCAAAACATTTTGTTTCCTTGTTCATTGCCTTAACACAAACTCTGCATTGATAGAATCTATCTTTGTAGGATTTTACTTCTTTAGATTGTAAGTTAACATTCAAGGAATTGCAGACCTGGGGCTGCAGTATATACTCCAAGATAACATGGTGAAGCCATGTATATATTTGTGCATAGTTAAATGTGTCAAAATCTTGCAAGATCAGCCATTTTTCATGTCAGTTTGGAGATTGTTGAAATCCCATATGACTCGAGCCACTTAAAAACTATTTTTTTAGAGCATCCAGACCATCACATGAGATAATATAATGAGGCCTGAAAAGATTGCAGGCCTTAGAATAAACAGTTGAAGTAAATGACCAGAGGAGGAAAACCTGAGCTGAAAAATGATCTTAAGTGTATGGGTTGAAATGCTGAGCATTTACTAAAGTATAACTGAGGGCTTTCTTTGAGAGACAACAGCATTGAATATGGATGGATAGTTGAAAGCAGTGTCTTTTCTGCTTTTTCTTTCTGACAGTATGTGACAGGCGAGCACAGCCTCTTTCTGTCCAAGAAACGCATGTTGCCTTTGTAATTATAATACTGGGATTGCCAGAAAATGCAGGTGGGGCTAGGGCAAAATAATGAAATTTAAGTGTAAATAAAATTAGAATATTAACATAGTTGATAACTCCTTATGTATTAATCATTGTCTTCTATTTTTCATATAACAATGACAGTGGTAGCATTTGGGGGTGCTGTAGAACCTGCTTCCAAAGCTGTGTTGAGACTGCCTGTAGCTCTACCAGTACAGATTGGGTTTCTCTGTTAGCTGTTGCTACAGTTAAGATAATTGACCTTGATCTTTTTCCTCTTTTCATATATTTTCCCTTTACTTAGCTCACTTCCTGAAACAGAAAGCAGTGTGGAAAATGATAGCTTTGATGTGGCAGAAAGTCAAGCCCTCATGAGCCGGCTTCAATGGGATGGTTCTTCAGATATCTCTCCCTCTGATTCAGCTTCATCAAAAGCAAGTAAGAATGTGTATGGTTGCCTGATGAGAGAGCAGGCTGAAGTGATAATGGCTTGCATCTTAAATACTGGAACTCAAGATAACTTCTAATTGTGAGGTTGTAGGAGTATTTGCTTGTTTGCCTTGTTTTTTCCTAACACATTCTACTGATGAACATAGAAGGACCAAAGACATCAAAGCATTATCACTTAGGATATCTGGTTTATCTTGTTCATACTTATGCACATAGGATGCTAAACATTGTCAGCACTAGATGCTTTTCAACCTTTCCTCTAATTCTTAATTTGTTGCAGTAGCTCATTTTGTATGGTTTGAGTTGTAGGATTCTACCATGCTATTTGCTGTCATAACATGATTGTTGAATATAGACAACTCCAACCTTTAGGAATATGATTTAGAGGTTTCCACAGGTTGCCAAATAATATAATGGTTCTTTCCAGAAAGGTCTAAAAATTAATGGACAGATTACTTGAAAAAAGATTATTCTTGACTCCTTTTCAGCTATGATCAACTAATTCATTGGCAATTATTTGTATAGAAGATTCTGCCCATAATCTCTACCAAAACATTGGTTGCTGATTACCTTAGTGAAACCAACTTCCCTGTTCTTTCAGACGACATTGTCTGCATAGCAGAGTACATAGAGGCACAATAAGAAAGGAAAATCCCAAAAGAAGTAATAGTTCCCTAAATAAGAGAGAGAGAGCCAATGGCCATTGAAGATTTTATTAAAATGCTAATCTTTCATCTTCTGTCAGTTGCTGTGCTGTCTGAATCCTGTGAGCATTCTTGGTCTACAACATCTAGAAGCCACACATTTTTGATCACTGCTCCATTTGTTGAGAAATTGACAGAAGCCTAGTAGGCAAATGCTTCAAAATAATAAACTGAAGTTGATGTAAAAGTGTGTGCAACTTACTCTTACTCACAGTTACAGCAAGTGCAAGTGTGGCAAATCAAATTGGCAAAAGGAACTAAAAAAGAGACAAGTGTTCATTTTATCACAGTAGTTGCCACTAAATCTTTTTATTTGATAAAAGTATTGTAAATACTGACTCATGGTATTGTGTGTTCTCTGGCTGTGCTCAACTGTAAAATTTATGATGTATTGTGATTGTATTGATGATTATTTGTAATTATAATATGATGATTCTCCTGGGAATGCTCTTTACTTGATGACTCGTGTGTGCAAATGGGCCACACAGATTTGACAGCAGAATTTATCCTTTCATGGCAGTGCTTTCAGCTTGGGAATGGGCAGTGAGAAGTTTTTCAAAGCATTACAAATTGCATCCCAGGCAAAATTGGCATATACTCATTGAAGAACAAGGAAGTTATTTGAAAAGCAGGACTGAAAACAGGCAGGCATAATACTTCAACATGCATTTTTTTCTCCCCACAACAGGTACAAACAACTCTGAATCCCGAAAAACCAAAAAGAAGAAACCACACATGAGCCTGGTAGGAGGTGCTCCAGGAATGAGCTCCAGTAAAAAGAAACTGAAGCCTAAACCACTTGCCCCTCCTACTCCCAGCCTCTATGATGACATAAATTGAATAATACTAGGATGAGAAAAACAGGGAGGGCCCCCGGAATCTGTTCTGGTTTCTTTCTAACCCAGATTTGGGGACAGATCTGGCTGGTATCCTCTCAAGTGGTCCCTTGCGGACACCCTTTACAAGAATGTGGAGAGAGATGGCTGCATGTGTCCACTGCCCTTCTCTCAAGCCTCCTACATAGATAGCATAGCCCTGTGCCCACCAGATATATAATAAAAGACTAGGATTGCTTTGGGAAGAGTGGGCTCCCACCACTTCTGGGGAAAAGGGATAGTGGTGGTTTGAGGCGGGCCTTAAAGATGGATAGTACTTCCATCAATCAGGAAGGAATTGATCTCTCTCCTTCTTCCCGTTTCAATTTGTCTATTTATTGTGATGTTAGTGATTGTTCAATCATGACTATATATATGATGACATCATATTTGCTTAGCAATGCTAGAGACTGAATTGGCAGGGCTGGGAAGCATCTATGCATATAAATCTGCCTGTGCTCTTTTGTTGATTTCAAAGGGTATGGCAGAAAGGAGGGGAATCAGTGCTTACCCTTTTGTCTTTAGTGTCTACCCCAGTGGCCTCTTCACTGTCTCTTTATTGGACAAATGGCACAAGATTGTAGTTATCCTAACATGCTGAGATGGGTAGAGAGAGTTGAGCAGATGTTGCTGCTGTGGTCACTATTGTTTCCTTTCCTGACACTATCTGCCTCTTCACCAGTAGCATCCCTAAAATCTTATACAAAGCAGCATTAAGAATCTGGAGCTGCATTCTTCCTGATGTATGGATCTCAGGAAACTGGTGAAACAGTTAACTTCCTTACTTGTGTTTGGATACTAATTTTGTCCAATCTTGATGAGCCAATACTCCAAGACATGCATTACTTTATACATATAAGTTAACATATATTTTAAAACATCCCTGACAATTGGCTATAAATCTGAGTTACTGAATTTTAAAACAGCTCTATTTAACATCTCATTGAATCCAGGTAGGGAGATTGTGCTCTGACCTGTTATCATTAATTTCTCTTTAACTTAGTTTAAATGACTTATTTGGATTTGAATGACTCAGTAAGTGAAAATAAACAGTACTGGAGTATTAGGGGCAAAATCAAGAAAGTTAGGAATAATGGACTGGGAGGGAGAATATATGCTTCTTTTAGATTAATAATTTTACTGTTTTCTCCCCTTCAACCACTCCCACCCCACCCCCCAAAGTATATTTTCCCTCTACTTCATTCCTGCTGTTTTGTTCTTTTTACAGACAGCTGCTGTTTTAAATCTAGTGCCATAAATCATGATGGTCTAAGGATTTTTATAGATAGATGCTAAAAATTGCAGTATTACTTCTAAGGCAGAGGTCCCCAACCTTTTGGGCACCAGGGACCGGTTCCATAGAGAGAGGTTTTTCCGTGGACCAGAGGGGGCATGCTTTTGTGTGCTGCCTGCATCCCGCAGATGGGGCTTTGCTTGTTTGTGCAGACCGGTTGCTGGCATGCCGCAGCCCAGTACTGGTCCACAGACCAGAGGTTGAGGACCTCTGTTCTGGGGAATATTGCCTCTTTGCTTTTTTGTTGTACCCTTCCTGAATCTTTACAATGTGTAGAACTATACAGAAGCCATGTAACCACTTCAAAATGTGTGCCCTTTTTTATTGCAAAAGCGTGCACATGAAAAAAGATCATTTGTTGTATCTACTCATAAGTCTAATTTACTGAAGCTTAGCTGTTTCCTTCCTAATGTGAGAATGTTTGTAGCTAATTTCTATAGTAGCAGAGAATCCAGATTGCTAATAACAACTGCTTGAGGCTGTTGCCTGGATTGAGATGGCTGACAACTTTCTTTTGCTTCTTTTGCTTTTCCCTCTTTGTTCCTAGCAACTAAAAAAAATCCTTGCTCAAAAGATGGAGGAGAGAAACTCCATGTTTTCCACTGTTAAAATTCATAGCTCAATTCCATCAGGGAAAGCTCTCTGAAAAATCCCCACTAACTGTCTTGAAGTGAAAAGCTTTCAGCACATGCACATTACAAGGAGAATCTCTAAAGGACCACCAAGTTCTTCCTTCCTTCCCAGAGTTCCACATGCTTTTCTGATGCTGTTACAGGCGGAGGCAAATTCTGCTTACCATAGTGCTTATGTTAAGGCATAGATGCTAGATCTGTTGCAGCTTCTGTGCCGGATTGGAAGATATGTGAATGTCCCAAATTGCTTCAGGTGTGGAAATAGCAGACATAGGAAGTCAACATTACTGAGGTTGGTCTTTTCTCGCCATTATGTCCCTGGGCAAAAGGTATGTTGCATAGGGAGTATTCTGGGACCAAGACGGGCCTTCCTGAAAGATCTTGCTGGACATTGGTAGGAAACCTTGTTTTGTGGTGTTCTGTGTTAAACAAGGAAAATCTGTTTGCAAAAATCTTGATCTTGTTCCTTTATCTGATCACAATCTACAAAACATTACTTCTGCATTGCCTAGACTTCATATTAAGCAAATGTTTTTAAATACATGACTCAGTATTCTATGATAGCTATGTAAGTATGGAACAGACAATTGCCTAATACGTCCTTGGAATGTAGCTGAATTATTTGGTGTGAATTGAATCTTTCCAAGGGAAGTGGGAAAAGTGGAAAATCTGTTGCTGTTCACTGCCTGATAACAAGTAGCTACATATTTAAATTATGTATCATCAAAATGCTGGCTAACTTTTTACTATTGCAGCAATATAAAAATAGCCAGTGTGAAAGAAGAGTAAGACTAGATCTTTGTTTGTTTCCCATGACTGCAACTCAAGCTTTTGGGATCATGTTTCAGGCAACTTTGGAAGTGTAGACTCTGGGTACTTTGAATATTAATTTAGCAAAAGGGAGAACAGAGGTCATTTTATATATGGCTCTGCATCTGCACCTGCACCCATTATTTTTTAAAGTAGGGCCTGTTTCACTTGAAGAAAAAAACTGTATCATGAATGGATTAAGAGTTTTTTAATTTGTTGCTGTATAAACTGCACCTATATAATATTTCTGAACATGTGCAAAAATCATTGAAGAAAGTACTGTACTGTGGTCTCTGATTTTTTTAAAAATGTTTTGTCTATATAATCTCAGCTTGTACAGGTAGCTAGATATTAAAAAAAACCTATCAAATCTGTATTTTCTTCTTCCCATTCATGGATTGTGAAATGCTTGTGTAAATAAACTGTAACTCTGCTTGGTACTGATTAAGATTATTTTTGGCTTTATATGTTTTGAGAGAATGCTTGCTTGCATATAATATGTTATTTGAAAACAGCAACTGCAGTTTTTTAATCTTGGCTTGTGAATCCAGCCAATATGTTTGGATTGCACTTTGTACTTTTAACAAACAGACAAAATAGGTTAAACAAAACAATGTTCTATAAAATATGGACTTTAGAATTCTGCAAATATTTTTCCTTTCTCCGAAGTAAATTATAACACTAAACAAAGATTGGCTTACCTAAGCTAATCATTCAGTTTACAAAAAAATAATTTTACCTAATACAGAATTTAGATTTCAACAGACTACCTTATTTGTACAAATACAGACATCTTACAAAAACACCCAATTTTTCTGCAGTTACCATTGCAGATCTTTGTGATTGTTTTTGAAAGATTTCCTGATGAGAAAAACTCTGTTGTATAATAAGTACACTTTACTATGATAGTCTTTATTTTCTATAACAGACTTGCAAGTATATCCAAACAAGTCATTTAGAAATATCTTACTTAGATGCCTATAAATAAGCATTAGCAACATGGCCCCATCTAATTATTCAGATTATTTAGTTATTTACAGGTTTGCTTTTATTTTTCCTCTAGCCTTAAATTCAGAATATCTGCACAGAAAAAACTACCAGGAATATTTATACATTTTTTTTCTTTTTTACAAGAAGTACACATTTCAGACAACATATCAAGCAAAAATGTACTTAAAATTAGAACTGTACAAATCCCTCAAGAGCACTTTTTAGCATACAGAAACATATATGGAGCACTTCTTTTCCAACAACGTCATTTTTCTTGATTTAGACAACTTCTTTGGAAGCAGCCAGTTGTGTCCCTATTCATGTACATGCATAGCTACTAAATCTATGTGCATGCCCAGAGATGCATTCTGAAGTAGCCAGAAAGGTTAGAAAAAATGTGGCTGCTTTAATGACTTAACAAAAAAAACTTTGTACACATTCTTATACATTCCAAAGCATCTCTCAAAGAATCTGGCAAGCCTCAGGTCAAAAACATTTTTGTTAATCTGTTCTTAATGCCTTGATTTTAGAAGCTACAGCAATTGAAAGCATTACAGGGTAGCTTTGAGCAGCATTTAGATATTTTTGCTTGGCACTGGTAATTTGATGTTTGCGATTTAACTTGAGCTTCTCTGTAACCATGATGTCTAAAAACATAATATTCCTCTTGACCAATAAGATTTGCTTACAACTTTGGGGCTAATTTAATATTATACAACCCTATCTTTAAAATAACATTGCTTTCCAATAGAAACTCCTACTCTCAGTAATAATTGTCCATTTTAGCTCAGACTCTGGGAATGTTCCAATGAATTCCATGTCAGTAATCTGACTTTAACACTTTGATTAACACCTATCTACAAGAAAATTCATTTGAAGTAATCATGCTTCAAAGAGAATAGAATCAGTGGAGTTTAAAACTATAACTAGATTAACTACATATGAATAACATTCAAAAATATTGATGACAGCAGACAGACTTTCTGCTTGACTGGGCAGGCACATGTCATCATATATCTTACCTACAAAAGGTAAACAAGCTGCCTAAACAGTTGATAGGAAGTTTTAAGTGTAGCTGTTATCTTGTCTCAAGCAAGCACAGTGTGCACCAAATAGGCATCCAGTTTGCGAACTCAATTCGCTGTGCCTTACCCATCAACATGCATTCATATTTTTGCCAGGGACTGACTAAATCTGTAGTCCCGAGCTAAGGTACAGCCAGATATCTTCAGAACACATTTTGAAAATACCTGATTTTGAGATATTAATCTATGTGAACTGCAGAAGACAGAGATTCCATTTGTTCCACCCCACTGTAGATTCATTAGCATTCATGGAGTGCACTGGATCATTTAGCACTAGATAATTAGACACAGTGGAATTAATAAAAGAAATGTGAATCAAGATCATTCCTTCCATGTTTGTCTAAGAAGCAATACATTAATTAGGCAAACATTTAAGCTAAAAAGCCCTCCTCTATTGAGAGATTCAAAAGATGTCCAAGGGATATAAGACAGGAATTGGATTTCAGGCCAATCATCAATAACTTTCTAATCGTAATTATGAAGAAAACTGGTGTGATCAGCCA